ATCAATGTAAAGGACGTAATGGGAAACAAAAGAAAGCAAAGCAAAGCAGCAGGAGAAGTCCAATTACTTCGAACTTTGCAGGTTTCGAAGAGACACAATGAAAGAGAACAAGGTCGGGCTAGTGCTACAGAGTTAATTGGATTTACTTTTTCGGGCCTGATAGTTTCAATGTTTTGAACTACGGTACTGACTGTTTTGGACCGTTTTGAGCTGTCACTTACTGACAAGCTAGAGTTGTCGAGGGTAAAATCATATAGAAAATGACCTGAGGTCACCTGGAGGGAAACGAAAATTGCCTCGAATTAGCGAGAGGTTCGAGTTGTGGAAGGTTCGGGTTACCAAGAGTAAAACTAAGGTAAATGTACTCATTAAGGAAATCCAGGGGAAATAGAGGAAATTACCCCCAAAAAACCCAAATTGGTATTCAGAAAAGATTGATAGGGAAGGCTAAGACAGACCGAATTAAGGTGCTGAAGCTATACAACTAATGAAACGGCAAGTTTTAAGTTCGCCCAGGAAGCGAGAACGAATCCGTTATGACACTTTTCTGTTCAATGTTGTTTTCGTCGAGGTGAACAAAGATATTGAATATCACTCTATGGGACGCCAACATTCGCTTTTGCTAATCAGTACCTCATTGTATACAGTGGTTATATCTCATTATATGTGGTGCTTTTGTGTTCTGCCGTTCCACATGGTGCAGTTGTCATTATTTTAGGTGCTTTTGTGATTCTATGCAGAGCATTTTTATTGTTTGCTTAAACTGTTGTGGTAGATTAACACAAGACAGACTTTGCGTTGACAGAAAAGGCGCAACAATATTAAACCAGCGTAGATTACATAGCCTTACAATGTGCCGGCTGTTGTTCAACCGTCGGCATTAAAACAAGCTCGCTCTACTGGCAATATTGTCATCAGTGAACTACTCTTGAAGAAGACCGCCGCCTGTTAATTCCAACCACCGATGGCATCTTTGAGTTTCCTGGCGACTTTGTTAGTGTGCTTAGCTGGTTTAATTTTGCTTGCCATTCAGTTTTACTTTTTGAAAACTCGTCAACCCGAGCAGATCAGCCTTGCTTGTACAGGTAAGCTAAAACTGACCAAATGATTACAAAGGATAAGTTTGATGTGCAAAGTTTAACCGTAAGTAATGACAGATCAATGGTGAATTTAGCGTTGTGCTCGTTCACTTTGTTTCCTAGCTGCT